GATCGCTTCCTCTTGTCGACGGCCGGCGAGTTCCAATCGCCGGCGACTTCCAATCGACGGCGACTTCCAATCGCTCCGGCTACAATGTTGAAGAACGACCTAACCCTTTTCATCGCTCCATCGTCTCCATCGATCCCTCCTGTCGACGGCGAGTTTCAATCGACGGCCTCCATCGCCTCCATCGCCTCCATCGCTTCTCTTCTCTCCATACCCAGGTACACAATCGATCTGTGTAGTGAACGATCTGTGAGTAGTGAACGACATCTCCTTTCGTTCTTGATTCTAGGGTTCTTGTTAATTTCTGTGGGTTTTGATGATGATTAATTTCTTGTTAATTTCTGTGGGTTTTGATTCTAGGGTTCTTGTTGTTATCAACTGTTTATTCCATTTTAGCTCACTCTTATTCTACTTGACCAACAGCTTAGCCCTGTTAATTTCATTTGCCCTGTTAAATATGCTACTTGATTGATTTATGCTACTTGATTCATTTGCAAATTTGATCGATCCTAGGACCATGTCACAGTCTTCCAAAATTCAGCAACATGTTTGCTGTGTGGACCTTGTAGATATAAATCTTSTTGGAGCAAATGATGCATAACCCATGTTGTACATCCTTCCGTCTCCTAAGTTCAAGTCAGATTGAGTACTGAATATCTGCTTATAGTACTGAATTTTGAGTACTGAATATCTGCTTATAGTCAGATTGAGTACTGAATTTTGCTGCTTGAACATGAACAAACAGAAAGAATAATCAGAAAAAGGGGAGTGTGTGCTCAAATATCTTGTTTTAATCTCAAGCTCTCATAGTCAGAATTTTGATTTTCAATTATCTTTGATGGCAATGGCATATGGTGGTTTACTGGGGGTAAATTGGTCATTTTAACCTGTCTTGTCCTGTCCTGTTATGTCTTACCAAACGCTGAACAGCTGTCCTGTCCTGTCCTGTCCTGTCCTGTTCTGTCATGTCCTGTCCTGTCCTGTCCGCGCACCAAACGCACCCTTAATGAATCTATTAAGATGTAAACAAAACAACCCCTTAATCCATATGCATTGTATAGATCAGAAAATATAATAATAATAATATAACGGTTTTAATGATTTATGAACCAGAACGTTCCTTTTTTGGCCGTGAATAGCAAGATCGATCTGGACGGCTGAGAGCAACTACGGTGCAGGATAGCAAGGCACACTTTGTCTAGACCGCCAAAAGAATCTCGATAGTCGCCACTGGCACGAGATAATATAAGAATCCGAAGAAAACAAAAACCCTAATTTGAAGAGGGTCCTCCGCACTTCTTCCTCGAGAAAATCTGTGCAAGCGCATTCGTTGCTTCAGCTCAATTGGCGTTGTACGTCTCCTTCTCTATTCATTCTGTATATGTAAGTACATTTCTTCGTATAGTAACCTGAAATTTGATTATTGGTAGGGCGTTCTTTTAAATTTGCTTGTCATTCGATCTATTTAATTGCTGCGTGTGATGATATGACAATTTGTGCTGTTGAAATCCTGTGATTGATTTGAATGTAATCTGAATTCCGTTTCTATTATAGTCTTTTTCTGTAAATTTGGTAGTTCCCAAATCACTGTGATGCAATGGCCATGGACAGCAAGGGGCATCACAGGCCCAACTCCTCTTAGCATTTAGTAGGTTGCTCTTGGGATAAAAAACACGGTTTACACTCAATTCGATCCACTCTCAGTGACCATTTACTCTCACGATTTGCCCTAAACCGATTTGCTCACTGCTCTCGCCTCTCAGTGACTAAATCGATCTGCACGACTCAATCGATGATTTGCTGCCCTAAATCCTAATATAATAAGAGACACACCATTTGCTGCCCTTTAGAGTCTTTCAATCCATTTGCCCTCTAGAGTCTCCTAGATCGATCTCAGGATCTCAATCTGCTGTCTCTTGACTTCTCTCATCTATGGAGTGAGCTGTGGCCTGTGGACTTGTGGTTTGTCAGTCTGTGGAATCACCATATCACTAATCAGGTATTATTTCTTAAGTTTCTTGCTTAGATGATAAAAGAAATAGAGATATTCAAATATCTTGCATTCTTTGATTTTTCTTGCTTAGATAATAAAAAGAAGTAAAAGTATTTTGATTTGTGAATTTAGAACAGTTAGAAATAAGAATAGCCAGTAGCCAGTAGCCATTATAACATTATTGATTACAGTAATATTGTGATATGTGAACAGTAATATTCCATTATTTCCATAGATTTTTAAGCACCAATACAACCATATAAGGCATATATTCAGTGGGCCCTTTTTATAATTTAGTTTGACAGCCATTATTGATGGATGTCATAGTTGAAAATGGAGTGTTTTTCTTTGTCGACAACCCTTTCCCCATAGGGTGGTTTGTGAAGAGTGAAGACCACTAGCTTGTGAAAAAGGTTTGGAAAGGCTTGAAAATTTTGATGATTATGAAAAGCAAAAGAGGGACTTGACACTGTGACACATTGGAATTAGAAAGTACGATAAACCAAACAACTTTAAGAGAAATGCATCCTCTAACTATCCTAGGCCTCTCCAACCTAAATTCGGCTCTCTACCCCTCCCCTCATCCAAATGTCGGTTCAATAACCCTCCCCCAACCCACCCTTTACCCTCCCCCAGCCATACTTGTTTATAATATAATCATGCAATGCATTCATAACTACAAGGAATGTAAAACATGGTTCGTCGTTGGGTATGAAGATCCAATACCTGAGTTAGAGTACCGTAAGGTGTAGCTTGGGTGCTGGCTAGATACGACTTGACTTGTCTTATCGTTTTAAATTTTGGTTACAAGGCTTCCAATTTCTAGGTCCACGATTGAGACAAAATGCACCAAATAATTGGATATGTTATGTAGGTTTAAGAACGCAACATTTACATTCCATTTCCAAATAATTATAGGGTTCTGATGTGTTTCTTTCAACTCTTCTTCCATTTATTTTCTAATTTTGCTCGTTCTGATATAAACTAAAATTGGAGCAATTTTTTTTTGTGGAGGTACTTTTTTATCTTTGGTGATAGGAATAAGAAAAGGACAGTTGGTTGGTGATAGGTCCCGTTCAAAAGCGATTGTTTTTTTAGAGAGAAGGGTTCAAGAAAACCTTGATAAATTTAGAATTTGACTCCCCTACTAAGCACTACCCTAATTTCTAGCTCACAACTCTTAACTTACAAATATGGAAAATAACTAACAATTGGACTAGTTCGAACTATTCAAACTACACTAATATATCTTCTACGCTTATCAATACCGCCCCATTTTTCTTGAACTTTGTCCTCGAGGTTCATGTTGACGAATTGATCTTCAACTCTGTCGCTATCACCTCATTGGTATCTTCCTTGGTGTCTCTACTAATAGTCGTGGTTTGTGACACTTGTGACTTGGAGTAAATCTCTCTTCACAGTTGAAACAGAGGCCTTTGCCTTGCTGTTTTTGCATCTCCTCTCATGACAACCGCCTCGTTGTCGATGTGGTGTTCAATGAGGTTGGTGATGCCGGGTCTACTGCTAATTTGTTGACTGAATGTGGTAAGTTGCTTATCGATTCAAGCGGCTCATCTTGCTACATGCCAAGTTGATTGCCTCCTTCATTGAGTGGGACCTAAACATTCTAATTCCATCCGCAATTTTCGAAGAACTCCCATGAAAGTCCTTACAAGTGCCTTTCGGGTCCATTCTTGCACCCGGTTGTCAAGCTTTTCAAATTCCTGTTGGTAATCTCATAGGGAGCCTACTTGTTCCACCCTTGATAATGCTTTGTCAAAGTTCACACTCGGTCGGTCAAAACCGTGTCAATGCTTTGTCAATGCTTCCCACCCCGAAAGGACCTCCTTAACCATGTCAACATTGGTTAGCCTCACCTTGAAGGTGGAAAGATGCCAACAACACTTTTTGGATATCAACGGTATGTTTGTACTTGAAGAAGTGTTCCACCCTTGAGAACCATTCGGAAAATTGAGTGAACTCCAACTTAGCGAGCTTGGATGAGAACATTGGCCTCCTCTCATCTTTGACCCCAGACCTGTCTCCCCGATGACCAGTACATAAGTTAACTGGTGATTTTTGTTTGGAAAGCAACGTGTCGGTCATTTTGCTAATGTCATCCTCCAAATGTTGAACTTGTCAACCATCTCGAGCTCTAGACGAGAGAGATGATCCTGCAAGCTGGCAACGGTGGCTTCAAGTTGTTCAGTTTCTTTCCTTGTTGGTTGCCATTGCCTTTTGGCCCTGATACCACTCATAGGGCCCATTCAAAGCTGATTGTTTTATAGAGAGAAAAGGGTTCAAGAAAACTTTGATAAATTCAGAATATGATTCCCTGCTGCTGTGAAGTGAGTGACAGACTTAAATACATGATTTCTGAAAATGAAAAACTACTTGAGCACTGCCCTAATTTCTAGCCCAAAACTCTAAACATGAAAATATGGAAAATAACTAATAATTTGACTAGTTCAAACTATTCGAACTACACTAATATATCTCCTATGCTTATTAATGCCGCCCCCTTTTTCTTGAACCTTGTCCTCAAGGTTCACGTTGACTAATTATTTTCAACCCTGTCGCTATCGCCTCATCAGTGTCTTCCTTGTGTCGCTACAACCTTCTAATAGTAATAGTCGTGGTTTGTGACACTTGTGCCTCGGATCAAATCTCTCTTCACAGTTGAAACAGAGGCCTTGGCCTTGCCGTTCTGCATCTCCTCCCATGATAACCGCCTCGTTGTTGATGTGGTGTTCAATGAGGTTGGTGATGCCGGGTCAACCACTAATTTGTTGACTGAATGTGGTGAGTTGCTTGAATGAGTCAAGCGATGCTTGTGTGATTATATTCTGTCGTATGTTTAAGTGATGCTTTATTGACATCTGACATGCCTCTCAGGCTGTGATTGGAAGCTGGGAGCAACGTGAATTCTAATTCACAATGGGCAATGGTCCAGCACCCTTTTCAGATATCGGCAAACGAGCAAAAGGTAAGCCTCCATTTTATATTCATTATCCACGACGTTAGTTGCTACTTGCTATTGCTTGTTCTTTGTTTGTTTCTAATACATTGTTCTTAATACTTATAAGTTAGCAAGTTGAAATTTCATGTGTTGACTGTATGTTTTCCAAGATGTATCATGAGGACATGCGATGCGCTTATATAAATGAATTTGGTCTCTTTTAATGCCTTACTGTAACCATAATGCCATGTTGGGAAAACCCCTCACAATGACATTCTTCAAGTTCTCATCCTCAACCCAATTTCAGTAACTAAAAACAAACAGTAAAATTATGATGATAAAGAAATGGAGTTAATGATATAACATCGTAATTTGTTGTGGTTTAGACCCTTTCCCGTTTCCATTCATTGAGTTTGATTTCACTAGCATGAAGTATAACCCAATATAAACTTGAGTGCAATCATTCAAGGAATTGTTTGATCAACATGTAAGTGATAAATGATGACATTGTAATTTATTGTGGTTTTGACCCTTACCCTTTTCCATTCATTGAGTTTGATATCACTAGCATGAAGTATAACCCAATACAAATTTGAGTGCAATCATTTAAGGAATTGTTGTGCAAGTTGATCATTCAAATTCGTTAATGACAAATTGTAAGCACAACTGATCAATAAAGAGAGAGTTTGGGAGTGTTATATATGAATTTGACCCATACCCTTTTCCATTCATTGAGTTTGATATGACTGGCATGAAGTATAACCCAATACAAATTTGAGTGCAATCATTTAGGGAATTGTTGTGCAAGTTGATCGTTCAAATTCGTTAATGACAAATTGTAAGCACAACTGATCAATAAAGAGAGAGTTTGGGAGTGTTATATATGAATTTGAAGTAGTTAACTTGATAAATGAATGGGGTATTTATGCTCTTGAAGGCTTGTGCTGATTATTCAAATTGAGGGCTCGCAAATGTAGTTAGGACACTGTCAATGCTCTTGTTTTTATTCTATACAGTATATATACACTTTCTTTTGCCCTCTGTATACAATATCTTGTATATTTATATAAAGGCTAAAAGTTGACATCTATTTACTCTAACTGCAACTTTAGCTAATTAACGTTTCTTGGTTTATGTAGATTTGGTGATCTATGTTTGTATGTACATTTTATCTTTATGTAGTTGTAGGCATGTAAAAATGAATCCTGTGTATATGTAGAAAAATGATGTCTGATTTAACTTCTATATCTATAATTTTAAGTGGTAGAGTTGTTAATATTTATGATAAAAGAAAACAAAGCTGACCAATTTTCTTGCCTAATGCAGATCTCTTGACCAAAGATTACAACTATGACCACAAGTTTGTATTATCAGTTCCTGGATCTACTCCCATGGTATGAATGTGATAATAGATTGTGTCTAGTTTCCATTCCTTCTTACATGGTTTGGATTTCTGGAATCTATCTAATCACGATCTGAATTGATTATGGAGTTAAACTAGGGTGGTTAAAAGTAGGAAAAACTGCTTGTGCAGCTTTGTGTTGTTGGTGTCTGACAGATAGAGGAAGAAAAATTCCTAACTAATCTGATCATGAAATTTTACTTGTTACACACTTACACACACATACATGTATATGTATTTATAAGTATGTCTGTATATACACATACAATATACATACACACAGAGAGAGACACACATATATGTATGTATGCATAAATGCATGCATATTTACACATAATATACATGCACACACACCTATATATTATATATATATATGTATTTGCATGTGTGTATCTATAATATGATATATATATATATATATATATATAATTCATTTTGGAATTGAACATTCTCGAACTGTTTTTTTAAGAACCAAAAATATTTGTGCCAAAATAACATATGCAAAGAAGAAGAAAAGGCCGTGTACACGTAATGGATCTTGAAGTACTATTTCTGCATCTCCTTGACCAAATCCGCCCACATTAGGATTACTTGTCAATTGTTGATCAAATTTGATAGATTCCCCTTCTGAAACAAGAAGTTCTGGCCTCAGGGGGATAATATCAACCACTTGACGTCCATCCGATATGTGTGTGTATCTATAATATGTTTGGATAATGTACAGATATTTTCAGGCAATGGGTTAGTGGGGATTAGAGTTTTAGGTCAGTTTGTCAAACCTAAAAATGCCTCCTGTAACTTATATTCAAGTCTCTCATAAAGTTTTAATCTGGGTCTCCTTGGCCTCTCTAGAAATTTTCCATGCAAGTCTCTTTCTTTAATGGGCCTATCCAAAGCATCAGCTTGGATGTTGCCAAACCATTTCATGCGGGCAAGTGCTGCTGCTTAAGTTTCTTTTCAATTGGTGCGACTTTGACCTTTTACTGGGGGTACCATATTTTCCAGTCTTGTCAATCTTCATATGGACAAACGTCCACATGTTTAGCAGGAGACAGGCATTGAATGGATGCTATTTCTCTGTTTTTAAGAGAAGGGCAGTAGCTACTCTATCCAGGGATTTTCTATGGAGCATGTAGTGGTTCTAGGATAAATCTGGGGTCTAAGCACGGTAGATGCCGTACACTTGAGTGTTGTGTGCATATCTTTGAAGGTTTTTGTCTTGGAACTTAAGATGGCTAAGGCTCAAAGTTCACTACCATATATCATAATCATATTTCTTTTGTTTGAACATATTAACGTATATTAGTTAGTTAGTTTTTATTGTAATCAGCCGAAATATATTCCACCTTTATTCCACTAGCATTGGATAACAATCACTAATGTTTTGTTTTTATACTCTTCTTTTCTTTCAGGGGCTGACAGCTACTGGTTTGAAAAAAGGTCAAATTTTTCTTGGAGATATAAGTGCTCAGTACAAGAGCGGCAGGACCATTGTAGATGTAAAAGTTGATACATATTCAAATGTAAGAACTGAGGACTCTGCTCTCTGAATCAAGTGTTGCGACTTCTCTTTGTATAGATTATGATGAAAACTTGTAGTTGTCTAATTGCTTCTTAGTTACCAAATAGTTGTTTGCCAGCAATATAAAGCAGCCAAATTGCATAGTTGGAAATTTTTGGCGAGGAATGGCCATAATATGCATTGCYTATATGTACTTAASAATTAGTGRGGCGYTTTTTGGCCAATTGGTTCTAGGTTTATCTATGCCTGTAATTTAGATGTTCTGTAGGATATTATAAGTTTTCTTCATTTTGCAGGTCTCAACAAAAGTAACTGTTCATGAAGTAATGCCCTGTATGAAAGCAGTATTAAGTTTTGATGTTCCTGATCACAAGTCTGGAAAGGTAAGTGATTTTCAAGTGTTGAATATAATATGATCTGTTTATGCTGTAAATATGGACCTACTTTTCCAATCACGAGTCGTCYTGAATCAAATCATGTTTCATATTTCAAATCTTATTATAAGATTTCTAGGAAGTTGTGTTATTTTCATCAAAGCTTTCACAACTTCCCAGAAAAGAACTGTAATCCTCGCTGCTGGACAGAAAAGAAAAATAACACAATTACAAATAAAATATCAAATACGGTAAGTTATGGAAGTAGAAGTTACATAGAGGAAAGCAAGAGATCCTGTCAAATAAGAATAATGGGTATTAAATAAATGTACTGGCACTGTTGTACAAATCGAAGCCTGAAGTATGGTTTATCTTGTTTCCAATGTTCTTTAAGGTGACATCAGGTAAAAAACGTTAAAAAATACATGTGACCGTGTGTATAAGTAAGTTGCTTCTGCCATGTCTTTTCACATGACTCAGGTTAGATTTTTGAATTAGAACATGACCCAAGCCTGCCTAGCTAGTTACGTACTGTGTAAAGCACAAATACTTATACAGTGTAGAACATCAAAAGACATAAAAAGCTTTATTCTATTTAGCTGTCTGCAATTACTCTTCCAGAGAGGAGTGAGATTAGTAATGGTTCTATTTAGAAAATACTGGAGGGCTGAGTAGGAGAATACGATGGAATGATCCTCTACAGCAAAACAACGATTTAGTAATTAGGAACAGAAGTGGTTTAAGCGACCGATCCAGTTGCAATCACACGTGCAATTTATCTGCAAGCTTGGATGATAGGTTAACACACATCTTTAAATACAAATGTAGTACAAACTCTTTGAAGGGTTTTATATACTATTCCCATAGTCCAATGAAATTGGCAGCGATTTTCATTTTAGAATGTTCTTGCTATTGGCTCTTTTTTTGAGTCTCGGAATAGATTCATTTTAATCTGAATAGAATTTTTTACCCTTGTTCTTTTCTTCCAATTGCAAGTACTTTAAAAGTTTGAGGTGTTTGACAGATTGGAATTCCTACCTGGGTCAGATTCGAGTTTGCCCATAAGGGCAGTTTAATTAAGTTCTAATTCATCCTTAGTAGCATACCCTGTCAATAGTGGCGTGTTTGTATGAGATGGTCTTTTTCACTCAGGCGTTTTGGTGGCAGGATAGGGGAATTACCATACACCATTTCATCTTTGTACCCTATGCTGTTATATCGGTCAGAATACGAAATATCGGTCAGGACCGATATTCGATATATCGGTTATATCGGTGATATATCGGTCCAAAATAGCGGTTAACATACTATTTCTTAGAATTATATATATAATATGCATTAATTAGAGTTTAGAAATATAGTTTCAAAATTAAAACATCACATCATCTAAAGTGTTCAAAAATGAGCTAATATAAAAGAAAGAAGAAGACCGTTGTGGAGGCAGATCAATTTCAGACCTAATTTAAGTTACCAAGCCCAAAAAACTAGTCCCATGAAGTAACAGAAGCCCAAATATTTAAACCCTAAAAAATCGATATATCGGTCCGATATTTGCATCAAAATATCGCTAAAAATCGGGAAAAATCGGAAAATATCGCCGATAATATCGGGGACGATATTTTGACTGATATTTATGGACCGATATTTTCTCTAGGAGCGATATCCGATATATCGCGATATTAACAGCATAGTTTTACCCCATCATTGTCCATCAAACAAACATGCCTGTTCATCTCATACGCCATAATGACGTGTACGAACGTGCCACTGAAGATTCATCCATATGATTGCATCTATCTTCCTGTGCATCCACATAGCTTTGGCCTTCTATCAGACTGGGAAATTGGTTGCAGGCGATCAGCATCAAACTTGTAACTGTTCTTTTTGTACGAATGTACCATATTCTCCTATATCAGGTTTCCCTTGGGAATATGGGTTAATTATGTTTCTTGTGTAGCCAAAAGCTACTTGGTTTAATTTCATCTAGTCTTTTACTGTGTTAGAGCAAACCAAATTATCATTTCTGGATTTGAGAGATGTATTGAATTGATCAGCGAAAGCTTGCTTTGCAATTAACAAGTTCTGCTTTTTTCTTTGGTGGGATTTATATTGCTTTGCACTCAACAAGTTCTGTTTCTAGATTGGTCTCTCTTTCCGCACAAGTAACTGATGTCTCATGGTTTTAGGATGAGAATGTGAATGTTTGTTTTGCATTAGAAAGTGTCTTTGTTGTTGAAGAAGACACATTGTTTTGAGAGTTTATAGATGTTAAATCTAGCTGGGTTGAAAGGGTTATGTTTGTGATGGATGTTCAAACTATGTGGATGGTTTAGTTGTTATGAAGTTTAGGACAAAACCTGCAAGTTGTGTGGCTAATATTTTTGTAAATTACATTTTTTGCCAAACAGATATAAAGCTCAAATGAACCTTAAGGCGTCTACCTTTAAATTAGCATAACATTTACTCTAGGGCCATTGATGAGGTGATTTTTGCTGTAAAAACATACCTTTTTTGAAACTTGTCTGTGTTATCATTTTACCTCATTTCCTGAACTATTATTGAAGATGTGTAGCAGAAACACCTAATATATCAGGAAGGATAGCATTTGTTATTTGTTGATGCTACGGAATTTCTTTAACAAAAAACTTCTGGTGATAATATTATATATGGCTACAGAAAATGGTAACTGAGTTGTTTCTATTTGCTCTCAGCTTGATATTCAGTACCTTCATCCTCGAGTGGCCATTGATTCTAGCATAGGCCTGAATCCGTCCCCAATTTTAAATCTTGCTGCAGCAGTTGGTGGCAAGGAAATACTTCTTGGTGGTGAAGTTGGATTTGATACTGCCTCTGCTTCTTTCACCAAGTACACCGCTGGGATAAGCTTTAACAAACCCGATCTTTCTGCTGCGCTTATATTGTATGTATAATCCTCAGTTTTTCTTTCTGTACTCTCATAATATTCTCTTTTTGTAACTGTGGGTGCCATCCTAGGTTGTGCCAAAATAACAGTTAGTAAAATCCCCAGTGGCCTTGAGGAGACTATTTGCTTTTCATGCTGTCCGTTGCATGCATAATGGTCTCGTGTGTTAAGAAATTTGATCGACCTTTTGGTCAAATGTCTAGATTAGCCGTTCATAGAGGCAAAACAAAGGTATCTTGTGGATCCAAAGTCCAAACCATCATCAATTTATTTGTGAAGATGATAGTGGGTATATCGGTACCTTCAACTTGGAAACGTCCCAAAATAGAAATTGCATTCTAAGCTAGAGATGAGAAGGAAACCAATCTAGCAAATTAGTTTCATCCCCTGTGTTTTGTATGTCCGACAGGATGGGACATGAAAAAACAAAGACTTGTTCTATGTTTGTGCAACATTTAGACCGGGACTGGCCATGATTGACACCAAAATAGGTGGCACAAAAAGACAAGTTTGGTAAATTACAAAACTACCCATGTACCTCACTCTCATCTGTACAGAATGCACCGTAAAGAAATTCATTTTAGGGCATTTGTTATTGATGCTATTAGCCTAACCAACCATGATGTTGAAAATGCAGGATGGATAAAGGGCAAACATTGAAGGCATCCTATGTACACTCTGTGGATGCCTCAAACAATACTCAAGTTGTTGCTGAGATGACACACGGATTATCTACGTTGGAAAACAGTTTCACAATCGGAAGTGCTCACGTTCTTGATCGTTACAACACTGTCAGAACCCGGTTCTCCGACAATGGAAAAGTTGCAATGGTGTGCCAACGAGAATGGCGGCCAAAGTCATTGATAACCTTTTCGGCCGAGTATGATACCAAGAAAACTGAAGTAGCCCCCAAGTGGGGTCTTGCACTTGCTCTCAAGCCTTGATACGGTTTGAAAGTGGATTCGTTCTTCCATTTCTTACGATTGTTAGAAGCCGCAGAGTCGGTAAGTCTTTGATGAAATCATTTTGGAACATTTAAATGGTATATTGATTGATGTTTAATTGGATTTTGGGAAAAATTGACCCATTTTTGGTAATATTCATGTTCTTGCAATGGGGCAATACATGGAATTGTACGTTAGATTGTGATGGGAGCGCAAGTTCTAGTCCCATGAATGATACCTTTCAGCTTAATAATCCATGATCATGTTTTTAGATATCTTACATTTTATACATTTTCTCAAGTTTTGTACTTGGTTTTTCCTGCTACTAAGATGCCGTTTATTGGGTAATATTCTCAACTGTTTTTTGTACGGTAAATGCTTATTGCTCACTTGGTAAGATTCTTGGTTCTTGCATGCTCACTCGGGGTAAGCTCTTACCTTATATCTGAATTTTGGAATGTTCAACTCTGAAATTGGTTTTGAAATGTTCGAACACAATATATCAGTGTATATGTATAATAATAATAACAGTAGTAGTAGTAGTAAAAATACATATGTATGTAGGGGTGTTGATTCACAGGTTATTCGAGTTTAACTCAAGAAATATTACCAAAAATCGAGCTCGAATAACTCTTTAACAGTACGGCTTGAACATGAGCTCAAATATTTTTTCTATATTCGAGTTCAATACTCATTTATGGGCTCGAACTCGAGATTCATTTAACTCAGCTTGTTTGGTAAGATGAAAGAACTCGTCTAATTAGTTTTGGAATAGTTTTACAGGTTTTACGAAACTAGGTTGTTTCATGTTTGAAATGCTTAATACATCTAGTTTATTACAACAATGTAGTTCAATATATCTTTTATATATTTGTGTCCCTCCACCTTTAACCATAAAATCAAAATCACTCATCAATGGTCACAAAATTGCATCATTATCCTATAACAAAATTAGGTTTGTAGGACGTTAAAAATGTAAAAATGTCTTAATAGACTATTTTATAAGATTTTAAATTTATAGAACGAAACATTTACGTATCTTGTGTAAAAGCGTTAATAGGACGTTTTTATATGACTTAACAAGTTTTGTAGAAAACCTTTGACATACTATGCATAAGATTATTTGGAAAAAATGTCTTATAAACATATTGGAACGCTTTTCTCAGGATAAACAATTGTTTGACACTAGAACCTTAAGTTCTCCAAAATAAATAAAATATTACTTCAAAAAATTTGACGTCTTGCAAACTCAATTTTGTTCTAGTGTTGGTTTTGTTTATTGAAAGTACAATTGTTGAAAAAGATGAGTACAGAGAAAATTGTGCCAGAGTTCAAAGCCGTCGAAGATCGACGATTTCTACTTTGATAATTGAAGTCTGACATTTTCATATTAAATCTCCTGTTTCAGGATATCTCTAACTCAAAACTGATAAACACTAGAAAAAATCTACTTCAACCACACACTAAAAACCACTTTTAATATTATGATAATAATAAACATCTTAATATATTAAATTTTAAATCAATATATATATATATAATTATAAAACTTTAATATTATATCAATATATATTTATAGAGACCTACTTTATTGACCCCAAATGTAAATACCAACATTTTCTACCTCATTTTTTTTTTGTATTGGGTCGGAGATGGAGACACTTCTATTTTCATTTTTTTTAGTGTTATTATATGTTGTATATTTGAGTGGTCTACTTTTTGTATGTATGAAAATATACAAGAGAAAGAGATTACGCGACTTTCTATCTCATTCATCAATTTGCAATTAGCGGGGCTTGCTGGTATTTAACGGGGTTTTGAAGGCCGTCACGTCACGAGTTCTTGTTACATATTGGGGGATTTCTAGATCAGCATTATTGAAACACAAAATTAAAGGTACATTTTCTTCCGTCTCCTTCGATTGATCTGCGCACAAATACATTTAATGTTCTTACTTTGGGGTTTAAGGGTTTTGGTTTTATTGGTCCGATCAACCACTGAAATTTCAGTAAATATATGCTAATTGTTAATGAATGCATGTTTGATTTATCTGTATTAGATTGTGTTCTTTCTGATGTCTAATTAAGTAATTGACTGAATCACCAAGCTTGCAGTAAAATCTAAATTTCTAGAGGCATATGGTTCCTATTGATTCCATTGCTTAAATATGCAGCAATTTCTCTAGCTCTCAAATTCTGCGTTTTTTTTCTTTATAAGCCGACTTGAAGCTTAGCAATGGTGTTGATATTTTGGTTGGGCCTTCAGCATTTCTGTTTGTTAGCAGCTTAACAAGCTTAATGAGACTCGCAACTTATTGGCAGCTATATATCACCGTTTAATAGTGGCTTAACGATATAGAAAGTGGTTTATTCAGTAAGCTCTTAGGGGGAGCTCTATGCAAGTTTTTTCCAAGTCTGCCCATCTCAATTAAAAACAGCCCTTTAGACTAAGAGCTGTGTAATGGTGCTGATAAATGGTTTTTGATTTGGTCTGCAGCATCACAACCTACAGAAGAGGTGGTAAAGCAGTTTGGTCTGAAAGTGTACAGACATTCTGATTTCCTAACACAGAGAATATTGGACACACTGGTACTTGTGTTCTTATCAAGTTATCATAGATCACAGAGGAAATTGTATTTTGTCTGATAAAGCATTCAGTAGATTCAGATATATATATGGATTTTAAGAAGCTAATTCCATAGGTAACAGCAAACGCTCAACAGTTGGCGCATACAGGTAAAAACTACTGTCTGAATACTTATCGTTTTTTCTTCTGTAGGTGTTCAGACCAGCTTGCACGCATCTATGGGGCCCTGAAGATAACAGCCATGAAAATCCTCAGTGGCCCAAAAGCCTAGCATTTATTTGCCAATTGAATACATCAAATCAGCAAGATAGTAACATAAGAAGTTAAGAACTATAAATTAGCAATAAAATCAAATCTTTATTGTTTACTGTGAAAAATTCCAGCAAAAAATGGTTAGAATGTAGTAGTATAGCATCATCATCATCAACTAAGGTATATGGTACAGTTTTGAAGGTTTCATATTTCGGGTAACGTTAAAGTACTGCAATGTCCGTATCCACTTTTCTTGCGTCTTCAAAAGGTGTACGGCCACTGTGTCGGGCCAAAGCTCGTGTGTACATCTTGTTGGCGGCTCTGGATAATTATACATAGACCACTTAGCGTTATGCCGATTTTTCCCACGTCGTCCCTCTCGAATCCAATCTCCAAAAACTTTATCTTCGGGCCCTTCTAAGTGTTTTTTCGGGATATCCGAATCTCTTAACCACTCAACGATATCCCATGATACCAAATATCCCATTCCCGACATGTAATGCACGAAAGGATCCATACTAGGACAGGGGATAACATAGCCGTAGTATAAGTCTTCTCTTGGTAGCGGGATCAGGCTCTCTGCCAACTCGTTCAGCCGGAAATACGCATCGTCATCACCCTTCATCACGTAATGGTATGGTGGGTATTGCTGCCGCCTTCCGCCACCGTTGGCCGCCTCGGAGTTGTCAATCAGCATATCCGGTAAGCTCGAGAAGTAGGTGTAAGTCTTCCCTTTATTCATGTTCTCTTGGCAGTTCAATATTATGATATCATCGTATTGCATTATCTCAAGTGCCACTAAAACCTTCTGGTCTTCTTTCGTTAGGTTGCAGAAAACAAACTTCACGTCGATTCTTGCTCCGACCACGGACTGCGTCCCGTAAACAAGCCGGAGGAAATGGCGGCGTTGGTACTGGTCCGGGAGTGTTAGGATCCCGAGGAGGATTCGGATCTCGTCGTCTGATGACTTCATGGATAGCGAAGAGTCGTTTGATAAAGATGGGGAGATAGCACATCTTCTGAAGTTTGAAAGATGGTCGAAACGTATTTGATTAATGGACGCGAAAGTGAACAAGAACGCAATGAAGACGAGAGATATAACGGTGAATCTCTTGCCGTTTCCGGGCTTCATGACGTTCTTCATAACGAACAAGTTCGAGTTCAGGAATTGAGGTATGAGATTTGCAAAAGTGTCTGTTTGATATAAAGCTCAATTTCTTGCTTACATTCTTGAAGAAAAGCACAAGGTTTTGTTGGGGGGGGGGGGGATTGTGTGTAATAGACGAGAATGCCCCCTTGGGACCAATGGAAATGCAGCCTGAGTTGACCAGCATCTGGGGTGTTTTTGGTAAATTGTAAGGAGAAAGAAAAGAGTGGTGATACTTGGCCTAACTTGAATTGTACATTAGGTGATAGTGTTGCGTGAATAGTGCCTAAAGTAAACTGGGTTTGAATTCTACACAAGGGGTGTGAATGGACGATTGTGCCCTTTGAATCAAAAGCTTTTCACAACTTGGGTTGAGGATGTTTTTGGTAAATTGGCACAGAAAGAAAAAGGGTGCATGTTTTTGGTGATTCTAAGCCTAACTTGAATTCCACATTAGGGTTGTGAATATACGATTGTGCCCTTAAGAGTCTAAAGAGATGCAGATTGATTGCCTATGGGTATTTGGTATACCGGTTAACAGAGATAACTCTCGATTCTTGCCTTCGTTCTTACCGGTTAAGATTTTTAGTCCTTGTCATATTCATCCAGTAAAGTAAAGTGACTTGATAAGTGCTTACCTGGGTAAGCGTTTGGTAAACGATACCTTCGTATACACCATATAGATTTTGGTTAGGGTGATTTTGGTAAATCATTGCAAATTTTGCTTGAAGAAGGGGTAAAGTAAAGTCAGAATGCTGAAATTAAGCTTCAATTACATGTTATTGCCCTTTTTAATTGTTTTTTCAGCGATCCAAGACGTCTTAATGTCTCCATTCAGATTTTGAATTGGTGAGCTGACAATTCAATTAAGTGAACTGGAAAGCAACATCGACTTCAACAGTCATGTTAAAATAGAGAAAAACGAGATTTTAGTAACTTTTTTTCCCTCCAAAATTACATATTTATAGGATATTCGCTACAGATGAGATCAAATGAATCCAAAATAACCGAATAACCCATTTAAACCATGAGATTGAGATGATTCAACAAATGTGATTGAAATACAGTTATAACCACTTTTCTTTTAAAATACAAATATTTTCTTTTAATTTTCAAATAAAAAATTAGCAAAATACAAAAAATAAAATAAAATTAGAGTAATACAAATTACACCAAAGAAACAATCATTTTATTATCTTTAATTTGATATTGATAAATTTTCATGGTTTTCCGGTTCTTTTTTCCAAAATTCTCTCTGGATCTTTATTCTATTTACCTATCTATACTATATTATAAAACATTTAACAAAAACTCTTAATTTTTTTTTTATACATGAAGTATTGTTTATTGATGTAAATTACTTAAAATTCAAAATTACAAATAAACTGTGCGTAAGTACAAACTATTAAAGCTCCATGTTTGAATTCGTATAACTGACTGCAGATAAACATAATTAAACACAATATATACATTTCATTTTAAATATAAAAAATTTAAAATATAATTAGAATAATTATTGAGTTCTAACAAAATATTTAATTATTATCCTTACAAAAAATTAAATATTTTTAAATCAAAAATAAATTACTTCTTTATTAAATCTAAATTAAATTATAATAAAAAATTGAGTTAAATATGATTTAAATTACACAAAATAATAAGAACTTTTAAATAGTTAATTGATACTAATATCGATATATTTATTTTCAAAATCTTATGATATCTTTAAATTTATATTTTATTCAAAAATAAAAATATTATTCTTTTTCTCAGAACCACATAAACTGTATTATAAGATCTACACATACAAAATAAAACCAAACATTGAGATCGAAATATATCTCGTTGCATTATACGAGTGCTTTTCTAATACTATAAAAAATTTAAAAACTCTTAATTGTTTAAGAATACAGATACCAAATCATCATGTACAAATCAATATCACATAATACATACAAAAGATTTCAATTTTTATAATATTCTTATTCTGTAAACAATAAAAATGGAAACTTAAATAGTTTTTGAAAACCCTCAATTTGTTATATTATATAACATTTACAACTTATATTACATATATACATCTTATTAATACGTTTGAACTTTATAAACTAACTCATGACCAACTGATAAACATATTAAAATATAAGATAAGTCTTAAATCCTACTGATAAAGCAAAATATTCTATAAAACTAAATACATTTGATTATATTACACATTTGGTCATCATGACGTTCATAAATTGACTTCACATTGGATCTTATAGAGTCTGACATTAAACATCCCAATAAATTGAAATATCTATCTAAATAATAAGAGTTCATTCATTATGATTTAAATATTTATGGAAGATGAATAAAGTTTATTAATTATGATCAATACTTTATATTAGGAAACAATCAACACTTCTATCAAATTACATATTCATCAAATTAAATGAACGGTTAAGATTGAATTATATTGGTTGTACAAATATAAAAAAGTTCTCTCTCTCTCTCTATATATATATACACACACAAACACACACACACACACACACACACACACATATATATATATATATATATATATATAGAATAGGAATCATAAGAGACCAATGGTTTTTCGTGAGACCTGTAAGACCAATTTATGTTCATTGATCAACTTTATAAGTTAATGATCTAATGGTCTAAATTGCATGATGGCAATTTTGTGATTATTGAGGAGTCTCGTGGCATTTATAAATGTTCAAATCTGACGATTGTAGATCTAATCCAAGGGTTAAGAATTGGTCTTACGGGTCTCACGAAAAACAAACATCCCCATTAGTAAACCTCTCCATTCATACAAATTTCATTCAATTAATCACAAATTTTCTTTTCTTTTTCACTTGTTTCTTAATTATGAGAATTAATTAGTCATTTCTATTGTAGAGTAGGTTAATTATGGACATTATCATCTTTATCGTATTAATTTTCGAAAACAAATTCCATCAAAATGAGAAATACATTGGCAATTTCATTTTTACATGGAAATAAAAATATATGAAACAATTTCATGGGATTAAACAATTTTATTAAATTAAACAATAGAATCAACGAATAAGATCGGTTTGTACGATTTATACAAATGACTTAATTTATAAAGTAAACAAAAATATATAGAGACAAATGATCGTGTGAGAAAGAAAGTTATTGTGAGAAGCGTAAAAAGAGATTTGAATCTTTGATCACTTTTAATCTCATGTCAACCCATGAGTTGTGCTTTAGAACTTAGAAGGAAATTGATCTAGTGCAACTCGATGCACCTCATTAGTGTTGACATTCAATTAGAACTGATCCAAGAGTGGAGATCTTTTCTTACGTTTTTCATCATAATTTCCTTTCTCACCGAAAGCCAATCCTATATATATATAGATGCATAGTAACAGTAAATTATACAAGTTGATGGAATTTGGCTTTAAATTATTCAGATATAATGAATCAGATAAGCAAAAACTCTTATAAAATGTTTAAACTTTAAACGGTTTGGAGAACTTTTAATTACCAAACAAAATATTAAATTTTATGACATCAATTACATTTTATTGAATATGTTTTTAAATATAGGGATGAACAGGTTTAAGAGTTTTTAAGAGTTTTAGCCAAATGCTTTATAAGATGGTATAGATTAAGGGGGATTTTATCAAACACTTACTGGGTAAACGCTAACTTATATCAATTACCTAAAAAATTGAGCATGACAAGGACTGAAAATCTTACCCTGTAAATGAGGGGAAAAAAACTCCTAACCGGTACGCACTTACCAGATTGAAGATGTTTGTCATCAATCCATTTTGATAGCAAAGAATGTTACAAGACTAGGGGTGTTAAACGATAAGAGACAACTCGCGAGCTACTCGAAATCGACTCGGTCAACATTCGACTCGAATAGGCTCGGCTTGAACTCGAACTCGAACTCGACTCGACATATTAACAAGTCGAGTCAAGCTACCCAATACTCGACTCAAAAAGCTCGTGAGATACTCGATTATTTTATATATAATTAGTTTTTATAAATAAAATTTGTAAAAATATTTGTAATAAAAATGTCTTATATTTTTAGAAATTTAAACAAAATTATGCATTTTTTAATTATAAATGCTAATCAATTATTTTTTATTAAAATCACAATAAAAAAACTATAAAAATGTTGGTGAAAATTGTCTTACATTGAAAGAGAGATCGTAAAGAAATGGAGAAAAGATGTTATAAAAAGAGAGAAAAATAGAATTTCTATCTTTGACTTTTTCATGATAAAGTTTGAAGTTGATCCCTTTAGTTTTATAAAAACTAAGAGAACACCTTTAAGCTTGATTTGAGCTTGATTCGAGTTTGAGTTCGAGTTCGATTTTAAAAAATTGCAATCGAGTTCGAGTCGAGTTGAGTTTTTAACTACTCGTGAGCTTTCGAGTTCGAGCTTGAGAAATGGCATATCGAGTTTGAGTCGGGTATATTGATACTCGAACTCGACTCGCATCATTTACACCCGGTTGGTAAAACGGCCCCTAAAATGAATCTTACTATTTATTAAATAACAAACCCAATATACTTCTTTATTTGAAGTTGAAAACTCAACAATGTAGCATTTCAGATTTTGGAGGGTTTAATTCGTCATTATTCTAGTTTTGGAGGGCCAGAAGAGTTGAAACCATAATTACAATCTCACAAACACCATTCTTCATCAACCAACCTTTTCACAGAGGTTAAGGAATTACCTCTTAAGCAGCAGCCTTGGCTACACTTGCAATGGTTTTTGTGTCAAATATCTCGATCCAGTACTCATCTGGATCTTTGATGAACGCAATCCCCTTCATTTTACCTGCAACAAAATTGTAGTTAGCAGTTTAAAAAGACTCGTAGCTTATCAGCTATATACAACCGTGTGGTAGTATCTTAATGATATAGAAAGTGGTTTATTCAGTAAAGCTTCTAGAGAGAGCTTTATGTAGAAAGCCAAGCTGTATCCATACAGGATTTAATGAAAAATCAACCACACAGTCCCTAACTCTCGGTTGATTTGCAATCACACGTAACTTATATCGAAACCTTAAAGCTCATATTACTATTTATAATACTCGGTGGACGTAGCTAGTGGAATCACGCTGCTAGAAGTTTAACAAAAGCTAATAATGTTGGCACCTTGATCATTAATTGGCAAAGACGCACAATGTCTAATGCTTAATGTAAAATCAAAAGAAGTGAAGTTACCATCGTTAGGCTTTTTGACAAACCGAACTCCTAAATTTTCAAATCTCTCACAGGCCTTGTAAACATCATCAACTGTTATACCAATATGTCCTGGAGGCATAGAAGAAGCATGTTAGTTGCATGGAAGAAAAGTTGAGTCTCATATCTTGAGATCATTAACATGTTTGTTAAAAGCTTAATAAACTTAAGATCAGTAAACTTAATAAGCATCTCATATCTTGAGATCAATATGTCTCACAGATTATTTGGTCAGCTACACATAACTTGTTTGGTAGTGGCTTAATGATAATATAGAAAGTGACTTATTCAATAAGCTTCTAGGGGAGCTTCATGAAGAAAGCCAAGTTTTTTCCACACCCACCCTTTCCAATTAAAAAAGATGCTCCTTTCATCTATGAAATAACCCTCCCAAAAAAAAATCTTCCCAATCTATACATACAAATTAATCCACAGTCAGCTTTAACCATTCAAGACTAAATGGAAAACCAAACAAACAACCCTCAGAAGCACTCGGAAATATAGTCAAAATTTTCATTTTTCATATGATTCTTGTAGAATCTCATTTGACTAGCAATCACAAGAACACAATTTACATATATAATTATTAAAGTAAAGATTAAAACACAAAAAATGACCATCAAGATAAATGTTTTATGCTATAGACTCATCAAAATGCATCAAGTAAATTTTCTCCCCCAGAGTTCAATTTCCACCCTCAAATCATGTCCATTTTGACTTGGCAATTACCAAACAGAGTTCATTACATTCAACATAAAGATGCATTTGCTCATTTTCTAGTTCACTTTGTAATCAACATGATAGTGATGCACTTGCTAACAGATTCTGATCATTAAACATTAAATCTGCATTTTAGAGATTACCATACCAAATCCTCGAGGTTCTGAGTTCCCATTATGGTACATTATTTTAGGGTCTTTCTCGCTGCCCCAGTTGCTGGAAAAGTGTTATCAAAAAGTTAGATTTAAATATGGGACAGGATATGAATGGAGAAAAAATGAAGAAGAATGCATGAAGATATCTCATACTGTGTAAGCTCAATTGTGGCCTTTTGACCGAATGTCCATGCAGTGCGCTCAGTTGGATCTTTTGGAGCAGATGAGGTATCCTGTGGGGGAGGAAGGGAACTTGGGAGATTCATGAAGAGTTCAATGAAGCAATTGCATGATCAGGTAAACAAAATGGCTGCCTCAGATTACATAGAAAAGATATGTTCATCCTATATTTGTGGGTAGTACTAGGCTTTAATGTCTCACCTCATACCCCAGAAAGTACAAGCTAAATTTCATCTCTGGAAAATCCAGCCTCTTAAGCAATCTGCAATAGAAAATGAGGCAAAGATCAACAAGAAAGTTCAACTTCTTTCTTCCTAATATAATTGATGGTTTCCAGATTTCTTTTAGAATTCTACGCCTTTAGATTGGTTAGCATATCGGTTTCTCATTCTTTAATGATCAACAGGAATAAACAGGAAGAAAAAAAAACCTAAAGTAGTAAGGGGGAAAAGTTAACAAGACAACACCACATGTTCAAATGACAGACACTAAGAAATTACAGGAATGAAGAGCACCACCACATATGTTAATGCAATATTAGGGTAAATTAGAAACCATGTCATCTTCTAAATTCTAATCAAAGTTGTAAAAGGTTCAAGGCGCAAGGTGCAGGCCTCAGAAATGCAGGGCATAATCTTATCAAAATATACATACATATATATATATACATACATATATATACATACATATATATATATATGCACACACACAAAGTTACACACAACTGAAATATGCAGCAAGTACAAGCCTCCAATGCAGCAACCAACAGTACTTCAACAGAGGCAGAAGGGTATAAAGCGTGAGCCTTGAGGGAGAAGTTTTAAGGTATGGGTATTTATAGAGGAGGCTTGAATTTCTAAAGACCTGGTATCTAATATTAGGGTTTGACTTATGTCATCTATTTAATAACATTTTTCTTAAGAATTCAAGAATATGAGAAGATGAGAAAACTTATTTAATATAAGGGTTTGACTAGGTATTTAATAACTCTTTGTGAGGCACGCCTAGGCCCACAAGGTGCCTCAGCCAAGGTTTAGCACCTTAGTGAACCTCGTGAATATGTCTCACCAAGCCCAAGACCTTGAGCCTTATGAGCCTCAGAGCCTAGGTGCGCTTTTAACAACTATGCTTCTAGTTAAATTTTTTGAGATAGGTCTAACATTATCTCAGATGGATGGAGCGGGAGGCTATGCATAGTACCCCCAGTCCCGACATGAATTTGCCACCTGGGACCCCATAAAAAGGACATTGAAGAAGGTGAAGTAAATGAAATGTTACTTACTACTAATTACTAAAAATATGTTTGCTTATAATTCAAGCAACATTAGAGATACCAAATAAGTACACCAGATTGCCTGCACTATCAACATATGTAAATATGTAGACCAAATCCATCCAAAATAAATGCCCAATCTGATACTGAAATGTACACATTCTAGTTAGTAACTTGTTTTTACAAAAAAGAATTCGAAAAATGATGATAAAAAATAGTAACCAATATGAGAAGCACCACCTAACATACATGCCAAAGACCAAATCGGACATTTGATTTAGAGGACACAGAGCGTAATAAGTACATGAAACAAGCAGACTTACGACATTCCCAGGATATCTGAGTAGAACTTAAGACTGGCTTCTGGATCTTTAATTCGATACATCTGAAGAACAAAGTACATAGTTAGTGCATCCTCTAGAATGATTCAGCTACTTCTTCTTCATGAGGTTCAAATAAATCATCTAAAACTATAGATTTTTTTCTCTTCTATGTTCTTCTACCTTCTTGTCATTACCTATTTCCTAGTGTTAGATGTTGAACAACAAAAAAGAATCATATGGAGTGGTAAATTAACTCAAAACACCTTCCCTGACAAAGTCTTGTACAAAAGAAACAAACTCAAGCATCAAACACACAATACACTTAATTATTATGGTAATATCTTTGCCACAGCTTACTCTCTTGAATCGCTACTAGAAGTTCAAAAATCGAGAGTGGAGTTCGATGGTATTCATGGTCTGATACCATCATACAAACCCTATGTCAAGGTTCAATATCCATATCCAGTTCCATACAGCAAAAGCACGATTTAAAAGCATGTGTGATGAAATACCGTTTGTTGCATGAAGTAGCCCTTAGTTTCTTCACTGGGTGGTGTACTTCGTAGCCCTGGATTTTTTGACGGAGATTCTTTCGACTCCATTGTAGACGATTCTTTCGAGTCCGAAGCCATTGACGATGATATCAAACGGCGTCGATTCACAAAAACCTGCAACAATCAATACAGAAAACCAAAGACTGAGATCATTTGTAAACTAAGTTTAGCTCAAATTTGCGATTTATAAATTTGAACCTGTTTCGGAGATTTAGTTAAAATAGAGGGGATCGGAGATGCATAATAATAGGGTTTGCTAGTAGCGAATCGGAGGGAAGGAGAAAGAAGAGATAAGGAAGTCGTGATCAGAGACGACGCCATTAAAGAGATAAGAAAGCTTACTGTGGGAATCCAGAGACGAAACGGCAACCAATATGTGCAGAGTGTTTATCCTGATGATGTATACCGCCGATGAAACGGTTCGCCTGAATTGAAAATGTGATTATTTGCATTTATACCCCCTAGAAATAATAATATGTGTATTTATCCTCCATGATAATTACAAAAAAGCAAAAATAGTCCTTGAAGTTTTTATATTACACAGAGACCCCTATAATTTTTGTTCGGGTGTGATAACTTTCCATCCGTTGGGTTTTAGGAATATGCATCGATGAATAAATTTCCTAAGTTTAGTTTTTGTCTTCTTAGGGTATGTCTTATCAGCTATAAGCTAACTTATTTTGTAAGTTTATTGTAAACCTCTGTTTTGATTGGTAAAAATTAGCTGATAAATTAGTTTGTTGAAATACTATTTGAAATAGCCAGCGTTTCAATAAGCTACATGAGCTATTTGTCACTTTCTTCTAATTATACCTTTATTTAACTTTAATCGTCTCTGGTTCTTCTTCGAAAATCTTTGTATGAATACTTGCTAAAACAAGTTGTTTTGCTTGAGTATTGAATTGTTTGATATTCTCTAAAAAAATTCGAAAATCTTTGTATTAATAATTGCCAAGGTTCAAAATCGTATGAGGTATGGCGTGACGACAAGATCAAGCTCAAGTTTCAGGAGACATGACGAGGCGACGAGATCAAGCCTCAAGCTTTAGGAGACATGGCGAGATAATGGAGTTTCTCAAGGCGTGATTTGTGATGACAAATCTCTATATCATGTGTGTGTGTGTATGAGCAAGCAAATACAAACCATCTGTATTTGTACAAACCGTGCAAACCACCTTTATCCGTCGATTTTATTGTTTAAATTAATGATTTTGTTTCATGAAATTGTTTCATATACAGTTATGAAATTTTAATGAAATTGTTTCATATATTTCTTTAAAATTAATATAATGAAGATGATAATATCTATGATTAACATCTTCCACAATAAAAATGATTAACCAATCTCTCATAATTACAAAAAAGATGAAAAAATTGAAAATCTATGATTGATTGAATGAGGTTTATACGGTTTATACAAATTACATGGTTTACAAAGTAAACCTCCTCTATATAGATAATTATATATATATATGTATATATATATATATATATATGGGCCTAATCAAATGAGAACTAATTAGTTTATGGTAACCGTGAGGTCCAATCTCAACCACAAATCAATAGAAAAATTAAGAAATTTATAATTTTGGTAATTTTTAATTAAAATTTTAATGCAATGACATTTTAGGTATTTTTTCTCCTCTCTCCTATCTCCTCTCTCCGTCTCCCGGCCTCCGGCCACCGTCCTCCGGTGATACCACAGTGGTATCACAATGCATCTTATATGTGATTGGGTATCACACTGTGGTCGTTTATGCGGTCGATCGGATATGTAACACAGTGGTATCACAATGCATCTTATATGTGCTTTGAGTATCACACTGTGGTATCACCGGAGGACGGTGGCCGGAAGACGGGGACGGAGAGAGAAGAGAGAAGAGAAAATACCTAAAATGTCATTGCATTAAAATTTTAATTAAAAATTACCAAAATTATAAATTTTCTAATTTATATATTGATTTGTGGTTAAGATTGGATCTCACGGTTACTACAAACTAGTCAGTTCTCCCTTGAATAGGCCTATATATATATATATATATATATATATATATAGAGAGAGAGAGAGAGAGAGAGAGGTTGGTTATTATACAACCCTTGACATTTGTGCAACCAATACAACTCAATCTCAACCGTCCATTTCATTTGATTAATATGTGATTTCATAGAAGTTTTGATTGTTTCTTAATATAAAGTATTGATCATAATTAATGAACCATATTCATCTTTCATAAATATTCAAATCATAATAAATGAACTCTCATCATTTCGATTAATATCTCAATTAATTGGGTTGCATTGGTTGTCCAAATGGACATGGTTGCATTTGAAATATACCCTATATATATATATATATATATATATGTGTGTGTGTGTGTATGTGTTTTATACTATTACTCAATGAATCAATGCTATTAAACAATTTAAATACATTATATATTAAAAAATAATAAACAAGACATTAAAAAGGTAAAGAAATCAAATATCACGTTAGATAAAACGTTGCATTAGGCCATGACTACCACAGACGTAACATGACATGAGACACAAGTCTTGAGTCACGACACACCATAACGGTTGTTACGGCAGGTCTTTTAGAACACTGATATTTGCTAGAACAAGTTGTTTTGCTTTAGAATTAACTTAACCATAATTTAATCTACAAAGATTTTATGAATTGATAGAAAACAACATCATATCAGTGTTTTTGTTTATAAAAAACATGAAGTAACGTCAATTCGCATCATCTTGTAGTTTCTTATTACTGATCTAATAAATGTCCGATAATTAACGTTAAAATGGTAATAAAATGTTTGTGGTCTTTGTTAAAGCAAACATTGTATTTGTCAAAAGAGAAAAGGCGTACATTATGGTTCCCGGATCTTGCAATTTTGTTCGAAAGATAACTGTTTATTCAACCATTGCATTCGGCATTCAATTGCTAGATAATCGGTAAGTGGACTAAACTCGACTTGAATCTATGGGCAAAACAACTATTGGAGTTCCAAATTGGTTAGATACTGACTATCAAACATGTATATATGGAATATTTTTCATCTCTCGATAAAGGATCTTTTAGAAAGAGATTTAAAAGATTTCCACGGATCCTAATTTGGCATTAGAGTCAAGGTCTAGCACCACCTAGGGATTTGGCAAACTCTCGTCGATCTCCGTCCTCAGGGACACCGTCTAGCTTTTGTTTGAGAGGCATATTATATATTCGGTTTACCTGATAGCAGAACGGAATAATAAACCCGAAATTGATTAAACCAAATTTTATTTGATTCTATTACTCGAAGGAAGTTGAAAACTGATTAAACCAAACCAAATGTACTCAATATATACCACTGGAAGTAAGGTTTGGGAGGGGTAGTAGGCATGTTGAACTTACCTCAATCACTAGAACTGAGAGTCCGAATCTGTGAGCACCTCTGACTTGTGCATACACAAGTTTTGTGCATACGTGCAATAAGATAGATAATAAAATAGATAATCATTATGTGTACACTATTCAAAGGTGTGCAAGCAATACAAGGTGAAGATTGTGTGTGAAATAGTTAAGGTGAGAAACGTAAGAATAGATCTGGACCCTTGATTACTTTTAATCTTTAACACATTCATGAATCACTTTTGATACGGGAATGAATCTAATGTATCTCATCCTAATATGTATCCGAGGGTGTAGATCCCTTCTTATACTTCTCACATTAACTCTACTTCGTGCCCAACTTTCCCACACATGGATCCTATTTGCCTACTCTCTACATAAAAACACACATTAAATCGAAAACTAAATAAACCACCCAACTAACACCCCTAACTTCAACCATGAACCACCGTACTTTTGACTGTTTAACTCAACTTAAAAGTGTGTGGGTGTGGGTGTGGGTGTGGGTGTGTGTGTGAGAGAGAGAGAAGGAACGAGAGTGAGAATATGTGGCATGAAAATGTTGATGTAGAAGCCCTTTTGCTGGAAGATATATGTATATATATATATATATATATATATATATATATATCATGAAAGTATAGCAGAGATCTGAACATGGATGAAAATTTGCATTAACCTGCATTTGCCCTGCACCCTTCTTTTCTTCTTAACCTATCTCCACCTGCTCACACACACACACACACACATATTGAGCTTATGTGTTATGATGATGACAGCACAGCGGTGGTGGTGGTGGTGGTGGTGGTGGTGGTGGTGAAGAAAGAAGATGAAGATGGAGAAGAAAGGTAGAATGGTGCAGGTGCAAATGCAGGCAAAGGCAACATTTTTGGCTCTACATCTTTCATCATGTATCTAGTATTAAGGGTATGTGTGTATATATATATATATATATATATATATATATATATATATATTATATTATATATTATATAAGAGGTGGTGACCCAAATATGTTGGATTTTGATGGAGATGTATCAACTAAAGTTTAAATACTCTAGGTTATTTACCAAACACTTATCCGGTAAGTGTTTACTGGTAATATTTAACATTAATATTTACTTATCGGGTAAGATTTTAGTCCACCAAAATGACATCGTATGCAATAATTTACCCGACAAGTGTTTACCGTGGTAAGAATCGTAGCTCTCACTTACTAAGTAAGACTCTTGATCATTGTCTTACACTTATCGGGTAAGTTTTTGGTCTTTAGCATATTCATCATGTAAGGTAATATGACTTGATAAGTTCTTACCTCGACAAACAATTGGTAAACTTGAGACCCAATAATTTATAAAATGATCTGACTGATATGGATTCATCTAAAAATCTAAATTCAATAATAAGAATCCACTTAAAATTGATAATTAACCACTAGTCATACCATTAATCAATACTATTTTTTCTATTAACATGAGTATTCAACCCGTTATACGAACTGATTAATTCTAGAACATTCACCTGTTAATTTTTGTTTATTAATCAATATTGATTATTGAGGTATATTTATTTTTCTTTTTTGGTGATTTCTTTTTCTTATCATTCTTATACCATCTGTAACTCAACCATTAAAAATAAAATTTTTATAAAAAGATTAAAATCATTAAAAATGATGGATCCATTAAACACTAAAAAAAACATTTTTGATAATAACAATTAAATAATATATTTATTTATTTATTATTATTATACTATTTTATTAGTACATAGCATAATATATAATTAATTTCTATAATTTATAAATAATTATCACTTGATTTTAAAACAATTTATTTATTGAAATATCATTAAAATTAAAATGACAACTTTAATTAATAAATATACCCGAAGGAAATTAAATTACAATAATTCAATTATAGAAGATAACATGCATCTAAAGTAAATTTAGTTATAATAGTTTTTCGAGTTAACA